CTTGTAGCCTTTGTAGAGAGAGGATGTGCGTCTCTCGGCCTCGCTCGCACATTCTTTAGCCGCCTTGGTTATTTTTATTTTTATTTTTTTATTTTATGAAATCGTCGCTGTGAGTGATTTGATAATTAATAGTTTACTGATTTGTGAAGAAAAGGAAAGAGAGAAACTATACCCACACGTGCCTTGGAAATCCTTGCTTTATTTTGTCGTCTTCGTCTGCTCAAACTCCCACGAATGTGAGAACAAGAACACGGAAGAACGGAAAAGCAGAAAAATCCGCCACAAGAACGCTGGAAGGAAGAAGGATAACAGGAGAAACAAGAAATAACCACACACGCCTCGCGCCCTCCACCCGCCCCTTCCACCGCATTCTTATTTTCCGCCCCCTTCCCCCCATTCATGATTTTTAAACAATTAGCAACTAAAACACCCATTGACAGAATCTTGATCGCGTTCATTCATAAATCCGTGTGTCGTCGGGAGGGTTGGCACACCTCAACCCTCCTTATTTTACACATTTGATTCCCTCGCTTCACAACTGGTCACCCTCGTGACACTAGTAAAAACCTTCAACAAAATCAACCTCCAATTACAACATTCTGCTGTCACCTATCGGAAGGAATTTTTGAAAAAAGTTCATACACTCACCAGCCCTCAAAAACTTCCTCTCCCCTCTTCTTCCTTCCTCCCCTCTACCCATCCGAGAGTACTCATTATCTCATCTCCCATTCTCAATCGGACGAACTGGGATTTACCTTCCCCATTCCCCATTTGTTTAAAAAAAATAGACACCGCGTTCATTCATAAATCCCTTGTCGCGTCGAGAGTGTTGGCATACCTCCTCCCAGCGCCGTTTCCCCTCACTCGCTTCCCCATTGCCCTGCAGCCAGTCCGATTCGGCCTCCCCATTCCCCATTAATCCACAAATCCTTCCTACCTGACCGCGTTCATTCATAAATCCCTTGTCGCGTCGGGAGTGTTGGCACACCTCTCCCCAACCTTGTTCCCCTCTCCGCCTCCCCCTCCCCCCCAGCCAGCCCGGTTCGGCCTCCCCACTCCCCATTAATCCCCAAGGCCCCACTCGGCGAGTGCACAAATCCCCCCCTCCCTGACCGAGTTCATTCATAAATCCCGTGCGGCGTCGGGAGGGTTGGCCGCCCTGGCTCGCACTCCAAGATGGCGACGAGCGGCAAGCCTCGCCACGGGCAGCCCAAGAACATCTCCTCGCTCATCTCGCGTCTCCACGGGGCCTTCGCCGATGCCATGGCGCCGCCCAAGCTCGTCATAGACAGACGGACCTTAGAGAAAACTTGGAAGCTCATGGACAAAGTGGTAAAGCAGTGCCAGCAGACCAAGATGAACCTGAAGAACTCGCCTCCCTTCATCTTGGATATTTTGCCTGACACTTACCAGCACTTGAGGCTCATTTACACCAAATACGAGAACAGTCTCCACACTCTCAACAATAACGAGTATTTTAAGGTGAGTCTCGTGCCTTGTGCCCTCCCCATCACCCTGTGACACCTGACACAATCCTTATTTACCTTATTTACACCGAAATTTACTACTATTTCTGTTAGTTTCCATCATTTATCGTTATTTCTATCATTTCTATTATCATTTCTCTCAATGTGTCATCAGGTTTCTGTTATTCCGAAGCGTATTGTCATTTATTATTTCTTTCCCTTATTCCCACCAAACGGGAGGAGAAACTGCAAACTCCCAATAGGAAAGATGGTTTTGTTATTTACCTGCAATTTATCTACCTATTTATCAGTGGACGCTTTTCACGCTCTGGGCTTAGTTCACCAATTTGTGAGAAGGATGTGTTGACACTGTGAGAATTCATGAGTAAGAATGAGAATAAGAAAGAATGAGAATGAATGAGTAAATAAGAGTAAGGATATGTGTGACTATGAATGGGAATAATACTGATCAACAGGATTAAGAAAATAAAGAATAAGAAAAAGGAAAATATAAGGACACGCTGGTGAAGGTGGTGTTGTCTTGTTTATTTCAATGTTTATACATATATTTTTTTAGTTAAAGTGTGTTTGTGTTTTCCATTTGTAGAGAATTTGTTTATGTCAGTGTTTTTTTTATCTGAATTTTAAAGAAGGTCAAGGAGGAGGTTTGTTAAAGGGGTCTTAGATGTCATTATTTTCTTTTATTACTATTGTGAGTGGTGTGTGTGGTTTCATCTTTTGAAAGGTAGTATATTTTGGATTAGATATATATAGCTGTATATATGTATATATATTTTTTGTAAGGCAGGCAATGTCCACCGTAATTTTTATCTAACTGCGAGGATCTTTTGCGTACCGGAAAATTATATGGTTCCATTGTGTGTGCTGTTTGATGTTGGTCCCCAGAGAATATTGAAGTTATCCATTGAGATGTGGTTTCGAGATAGGATTTTGAGGATGATGAAGAAGGTATGTTTGTCATATGCAGTATGTATATACCAGATCTTCGGCGTAGGAGTTGTGTGTTACAAATTGTGTAAGGTAGATATGATAGTATTATGGGTTATGTAAAGACTTGTTTTAGTGAAGATTAGATTAACACATTGGATATTATGTAGGCAGATGTTACTCACACACTTGCAATGATTGAAATTTGTGTTGATCTTCGTAAGAAGAGTAACTATATTAGTCCAACCCGAGTATCGTGTAGTATATAGCTGTCACTCTGGCCTGTACACTTTCATCTCTGGTAAAGACCAGTAAACCTATACTAAGTGCATTTGAGAAAGCAATGGCATGGACTACTTTGTTATTTGACCATAAATTGCGGGGGGTTATACAAGGTATGTCTTGCCAGAATCGATGTGGTGTAGATTAGTTGGCTTTTGCGTAAGTGCCAAGAGGTGTAGCAGCTGTGATAAATTTTGTGTTGGTCAGTGATGGTGTTGCATTCGCCAATTAAAGTATTCAAAAGGACCGCATTGACTCGGGAGAAACAACAATAGGAAGGGGTTTTGGAGCAAAGCTAGGGGAATACAGTGATCAGTAGGGCCCAGTGGGTGAACTGACTGTTTTAAGAAGGTTTTGGCACATAAGGCAATTTTTGTGGTAATTTGGGTGTTTAGGATGAGGTTCATTCACCTGTTCGTTGGAGTCAGGGGCTTAGCATCTGACGACTGCAGTCCTATTGCATCTTCTATTAGTAGCATTGCTGTGTTGATGAGGGCATGATTATGTATAGATTGTTTTTTTAACCTGTGTCCAGCAATTTCATAATGGGATTTGATTAACTGGATTTAAAATGATTATGTGCACCAAAAGCCATGTGAGCCTGTAGGGTGATGTCGTCACTATGAACATGAAAATATGAGAAAATGGTTTATTAATGTTATGCAACAATGAGAGTTTGATGTTACTGATGCATTCTAAATAAATGCTAGAGTTGAATTTAGCTAATCAAAGCATAATGCATAAGATTAGCAAAGTTTATTCCTTATTGTAAGATAATATTTATTCATTGGTGTAGGTCTTTAATAGGCTGTAAATATTTAATGAAATTGCAGCTGTAAGCTAGATGTATTTGATATGACTTTTGATATATGCATATATGCATATATATATATATATATATATATATATATATATATATATATATATAATATATATATATATATAATATATATGCATATATATATATATATATATATATTATATATATATATATATATATATATATATATATATATTATATATATAATATATATATATATATATATATATATATATATATATATATATATATATATATATATATATATATATATATATATATATATATATATATATATATATATATATGAATGTCATATTGGGTAAACAGTAACTTAGTGAAGATAAACCAGTCATTGTCTTGTTTCATATTTTTTACATTGAATGCAATTAGTGTGATTCTATGCATTGTTGTCTAGTGTGTGAAAAAAGAGTACATTTCCTTTGAGTTTTCATTTTTCTTCATGCAGTTTTCAACAGACAAATATTGAATGCTGGTTACATTTTTCATGGATGCATTTTTGGTGTGAACTTGAACCAAGAAGTTATTTTAAGGTATGGGTTTGTTTGAAGAAAGTGAAGGGAGTGAAATGAACAAATTTTTGGAATGAGATTTGAGAATAGTTGGTTAACATGAGCCTGAATGAAACATAGATTCTTCATGACTGATTTAACAAGATTTATTTTTTATGATTTTTCGTGTGACTTAGCACTGTTGTCGAAGAGGATCTCTCGCTGGTGTTGCCCATTTGGCTCCAGTACAGTAGTTTTCATGGATCCTCAAGTTATTGATTAGGGTAGTGACGATAGTTGTGTTAGGATTTCTAAAACTAATTCCGGTATTATCAGAACTAGATTGGAGAAATAAGAATAATGGGTGAAAATTTGAAGATTACACTTATCTTTAGATGATGGTTGTGAACTCTAAACTCTGAATTTTTTGCTTAACCTATGAAGTGAAAACGAAAACATCCTGTATGGAAAAATATCTTTATATAGAAATACCTACCACATTTCAGATACCTCTAGTTTCATGACATGCAAAGATGTATACATTCACATATACATGTCTACATGTGGACAAGTGCTTATGTGCCAATCTATGCAGCCAGACTCTGTGCACTTCAATCATTATTTATTAATATTTACATACATGGATTAACATAAACTGTTACCATGATTACAAATTTTTACACATTTATGCACACCTTTACACATGTCCACATATTTACACACAACTGGAAACACACACACATGTGCACACACACACAAGTGCAAACACACATGCATGTACGTACACACACGTGCATGCACGTGCACACACACACACGTGCACACACACACGTGCAACACACACACGTGCACACACCACACACAACACACGTGCACACACACACACACACGTGCACACACACACACACACACACACACACACACACACACACACACACACACACACACACACACACACACACACACACACAC